AAGGAGGGGATGTTGGCAGGAGAGGTCCAGGAGATCTGGGAACCATGCTTGGCCCTGCCAGAGTGGGGTGAGTAGTACCAGCGTGACCTGTTATCTGCGAATCTGAAGAAGGGCTCTTGGGATCATCGCAAACGGAGGGAAGGCGTAGGCTCCCGTCGTCGGCCATGTCTGAAGAAAGGCATCTACTGCCGAACATTCCGGGTCTGGTAGCCAGCTGAAGAAGCGTGGGACTTGAAAATTCGTCCGGGAGGCGAAAAGTTCCAGAGTAAACGGGCCCCTGAGTTTGGAGACGTGGAGGAAGACTGACCTGTGTAAGCGCCAGTCGCTGCCGTCTCTCCAATGTCGGGAGAACCAATCCGCGGTGGTGTTCGTCTCCCCCGGGAGGTATTCTGCCCGGAGTGTTATGTTGCGCTGGAAGCAAAAATTGTAGATGTCCTTTGTCACCTCGGACAGGGTGTGAGATCTGGCCCCGCCCAATTTGTTGATGTATTGAACGGCCGAGATATTGTCCATTCGGAGGAGAATACAACAGTCTGAGAGATGATTGGCCAGACTGCGGATTGCAAACGATCCTGCGATTAATTCCAGACAGTTGATGTGGAGAGAGTGTTCTGCATCGGTCCATGGTCCCCCGGTGGAAGTTGTATGACAAGTTGCGCCCCAGCCTTGGAGGCTCGCGTCTGATTCCACCACAAAGTCCGGAGTGGGACCAAAAATTGCTTTGCCGTTCCAGGCAGACATGTGGCAAAGCCACCAGTGGAGTTCCTCCCTCACCTCGGTAGTGATCGGGACCCTTTGGTCGTATGATGGATGGGTCTGGAGGAATTGAGCCTTCAAGCGTTGCATGGCCCGTTAATGGAGGGGACCTGGGTAGACTGCTTGAATGGAGGCAGAAAGCAGGCCTATAATCCGAGCTAAACCTCGGAGAGGTAGATCCACTTGACGAAGCGTCTTGCGCAGTTCCTTCCTGATCGCGGTTAACTTGGACTGAGGCGGGCGGAGAACACAGGTGGAGGAGTCGATCTCAAAGCCGAGAAACTGTATGATTTGGGATGGAGTCAGCAAGGATTTTTCCTTGTTGATGACGAATCCCAAGGATTCTATCAATGAGGATGTGTAGTTCGTCTGAGATTGCAGCCTGGAGGTGTCGTCGCAGAGTAGTAAGAGGTCGTCGAGGTAGATTAAGCAGCGAAAACCCCTTGCTCGAAGATGTGCGGTGACTGGCTTGAGCAGTTTGGTGAAACACCAGGGAGCGGAACTCAGGCCGAACGGAAGGCAGGTGAATTGGAAGATCTGGTGGTGCCAAGGGAAGCGGAGGAAGCGTCGACTGGATGGATGTACTGGCACAGAGAGGTAAGCATCCTTGAGGTCGAGTCGGGTGAACCAATCGCCTGGTCGGAGAATGTCTCTGAGGAGATGTATCCCTTCCATTTTGAAATGCCTGTATATCACGAAGGTATTCAATTGGCGAAGGTTGATTACCGGGCGGAATTCTCCCGATTTCTTTTTGACCAGGAATATGGAACTTAGAAAGCCTTCGTCGTGTGGAGCGGGTTGAATCGCTCCTTTTGTTAGCAAGGAACGTAGTTCTGAATCGAGGAGGAGCCATTGAGATTTTGACATTATCGGGTAATGGGGAGGACCTGTTTGAGTAGGGAGAGAATAAAACTCTATGAAACAACCCTGAACCGTGTTTAGAACCCATGTATCTGAAGACAGCGTCTTCCACATATCCACACAATGTAACAACCTGCCCATATGAGAAACCGTAGAGAGGTGAAAAGTAGGAAATCTCACCTGTTGGGTATCTGTAGCGTCCACGGGCTCTACCTCCTCTTCCCCTATCTGACCTTTGGGTGTAGAAACCTCTAGATTGATAGTTGGGGAAGAATGATGAAGTGGGGGTTCGTTGGCGTTGGCTTGTAGGCCAGAAGCGGCTGACTGTACGACCCCTTGGATGGCCAGCCCTGCCAAAAACCCGAGAGGGTTGTTGGTGGAATACTCTTTTCATGGATGATTGCGCCTTGTTCAGGGTGGCGTATAAATTTACATGCTTGTGTAATTCTTTAATATAGGGTTCTCCAAATAATAGACCCTTGGCCTTGGGGCCCAACTCTTTGGTCCCCAGGTCGGCTAGTTTGGCATCCATACACGGCAGCACTGCTTTTCTACGCTCGGTAGAGAGGGATGTATTTGCATTGCCCAGCAGGCAAATGGAGCGTAGTGCCCATTCTCTGATCACAGATGGGTCTAAAGGGCCCTCGTTAGTGAGGGCTTCATCAGCCAGTAGTAGAATTCTTGCCAAGGGCCCTAGGACATCCAACATCTTGTCCTGGGTGAGGCGTAGGCTGCGTTCAATGCCCTTTTTTTAGGCCAGTCTTCTTCGTCTTCTGAAGAGTGGCCAGCTTGCCATTCATCTAGAATGGCCAATGGGTGTGAGTCGAAAGAGTCGTCTTCCTCCTCCGACAAGGTAGGCTGTATGGGATGTTTTTCCTTGGCGTCCGCTTGTTTTGGGCGTTTTGCCGGTTCTTTCCCTTTGCGTTTGCCCATCCCCTTTGCCCATCCCCTTTCCAATATCGTTTATTGAGTTTGGAAGGGTTCCTTCTTGTAGAATCGGAATCATCCGCCTCTTCATCAGAGTGTGGGGGCTCAGAAATTTTGGTATCTTTGGGCTCAATGGGCAGCACCCGAGCCAGGGTCTTTTCTAGTGAAGCGGCAACAGCCGCGTTTATAATCGCTTGCAGATTTTGGTCTTGGTTTGAAGCCTCCATAGCAACAGTGTTGGTACCTATGGGGCAGAATAGGCCAGCATTAGAATGTATTTTAGGGCCGTCTTGTATATCAAAAGATATTTAATTTCAACAGTGCAAGCTGTAAATGGGGGTCACCCAGAAACAATAACCTCAAAGAGTGCTTATTTAAACTCGTGTAGAGGTATGGTGGCACAGACAAAGCGGGCCAGTCATAGGCTGTATGGTATAACAGCAATCATAAAATATATAGGGATTTACCCTTAGAAAAATCACAATATGAATGTGATAAATATTTAGCTGACTGGTATTGGGGGTTGCTCCCAACATAAAAGTAATGAGTAGTTTAATATACATTCATAATAATATTGGTAATGTAGTACCTTTAATTCACCACCAGGGGGAGTAGTGTAAGCGAAAATTCTCCTGAACTGAATTACAGAGTGAAGTATCTCTGTGAAAAACAAATTCTGCTCTGTGGGAAATATTGTCCTGAGAAACATAAGTTAGTGAACTTATATATGTGTATCTTGCAAGATTTTGTACTGCCGATTAACAATTAAAATGGCCGCCGTGCGGCTAGAATGGTCGCCGGTCGCGGCTCCAACAAAATGGCCGCCGCGATCTTGCGCATGCGCACAAGGTGCAAACGGCCGTTCAGATCTCGCGGCGATGCGCGAGATCCAAGATGGCCACCATGCGCACTCAGGGCCGATGGAGGCGTACTCCACAGCCCAAAAGCCCGGGAAAAAAAAAGGCAAAATTTGCTGACCACAACCGGACCAATACAAAGGAAGAGACACAATAAAAAGGTATAGAAAAACGAAATAGAACAGTACAAAAGGAATGAAAAGAGAAAATTAGGCAGTAATAGAGAATAAGTTAAGAGAAAACTTTAGAAAGATAGCTAAGGTGGGACAAACACCTTAGAAATAGGAAAATAAGTATATAGCTAAAGTATGGGAAACACAGCTAAGAAAAAACAAAGATTAAATAAATAAGTTAGAATAAACAGGAGAGTAAATAACCCACAGAAGTAAGAGGCAGTGGCACTCTGACCTGTACTGGTGTGAAGCAGCAAAGAAAGAGGAAGTGGCATCACTGGGAGGGACTCTTATACCTTGTTGTCTCTTTTTTCTGATTGGTTACCTTGTTACTAAGTAAAAAAGTGCTGCTGTGAAGCTTAAGTAAAGAAAGACTTAAGCAAATATGAAGCCTCCTGTCATGTTATAAAATTGCCCTGCTTTGGTAAGTGTCCCAAAGCAGGGTAAATCAATCTAAATCTGCAGCTATTGTAAGTCAAGATTTCACATATCCACAAAGAATTGCATGCATTTTGTTCTTTAGGGGTACATCTACTAAATTGTTAGAACCAATATACGGCTAGTTCCTTTAAATCGAGTGAAAGGTATGTTGGATGCCACTACGTGACAGTCTCACCTGCAACTCACCTCCAGCCTCTTCTATGGTGGCACGGAGGAGCCCCATCACAGTGTGTGTCTTTATGTCCTGATGAAAGCTCCGATCGGGAGCTGAAACGTTGACTTCGCTTGTATTGATCCACAATAAATCGGATGAATTAAATCCAAGAGTGCCGGTAATCGTTTATATATATATATATATATATATATATATATATATATATATATATATATATATATATATATATATATATATATATATATATATATATATATATACACACACACACACACACACACACACACATTTAGATGTGCTTTCACAAATTTGCACTATTCAAAAAAAAACTTTTTATGACCAGGGAGGGGCACTGTGAAGATTTTTGTACAGGGCACCTAAAGGCCTAAGCCCAGCCCTGACGGCAACAGTCTGACACTGTAAGTGCCAGAGCCCATGAGACAGTTATTCAAGATCTGCACTCAACAGAGGAACAAACCGGATTCCTAGCAGGGGAATGAAAGTTTGCTTTTGTTTTATTTTTGTTTTTAAAACCATTATTTTTACATTAAAGGGACACTATAGTCACCAGTGCAACTACATGTATTCCTGACCCTATAGTGTTAACACGACCATCTAGCCCCCCTGGGCCCCTCATGCCTCCATAAATATAGTAAAATTCTTACTGTATTCAAGCCTGAAGCTATAAGTCTCTGTAGACTCAGGAAAAAAAAAGCAGTCTGCTGACATGTGATAGCCTGATCCAATCACAGTGCTTCCCCATAGGATTGGCTGAGACTGACAAGGAGGCAGATCAGGGGCAGAGCCAGCATGATTCAAACACAGCCCTGGCCAATCAGCATCTCCTCATAGAGATGAATTGAATCAATAAATCTCTATGAGGAAAGTTCAGTGTCTGCATGCAGTGGGAGGAGATACTGAATCACAGGATGCTCGTGCACAGCAGATCTGAGTGGAAGGAGGCATATTATGCCTCCATCAACTCAGAAGTCCCTCTGATTCACTCTGAGTGACTGCAACTGAAGGTGTTCCTAGCTTTCAATGTAAACACTGTATTTTCTCAGAAAACTTTTCATGAGAGGCTGCAGGGAGCTATAGTTCTCACCTGAACAACCTCATTAAGCTGAAGTTGTTCAGGTGACTATAGTGTCCCTTTAACAAAGCCCTTATACACACTCTACATTCATACACCCCTAATATACCTCTATACACCTCTATATATTTTTTGCAACAATCTTTCTAATCCCTTTTTTTTTAGAGGTTACGAAGAATGGGAGGTTTTGAATAGTTGAAAGTATTGTATGTGGGGAAGTGGTTAGGGAGAGGGGGCGCTGTGAAGATTTTTTTCCGCACAGGGCGCTTAATCCCTTAAGGACACATGACGTGTGACATGTCATGATTCCCTTTTATTCCAGAAGTTTGGTCCTTAAGGGGTTAAAGGTCTAAGTCCGGCCCTACTAGTACACTCTCTTCCTATAGCACCTTCATGGGTGCCGATTAGAATAAATGTCCCTGCAAGTATCCCTCAATAATGTGGAGTCCCTCAGTTAACAGGAACACATCCCCCAATATCCAAATAAACCCCCCTCCTCCTCATAAAGGGAAAAAATAACTAAGTGGAAAAATAAATCAGTGCACAGTGAAGTGATTTCAAATAAAAAAATCCCTACAGGGATTTTTTTGTTTTGTATTGTTTTTACACACGGAATATGTAAAAACAGCTTGTGAAAACTGCAGATCTCTTGTCTAAAGCCTTTTTGCAAGCCCTCCCCTTCTCCCCCAGCCCAGACTTCCTGTGGCAGCCCAATCACAGACTTCCCAATGCAGTTCATTAAGAAGTATTTGCAAGGCAGATACTGACACTTGAGTTTAGCTCCATTGAGCTAAACAACCAGGAAATAACAAGACCGTACGTCTGATTGTCAGCCTGGAAAGTTTAACTATGTTAATTTATAAAAGTAAAAGTGACCATTTTTATTGAAATCTGCACTTTTAGTAAAATTAAAAAGCGATAAATTGTTTTTAGGTGTTTGGAGAGTTCCTTTAACCAACTCCCCGGTGCACATATGGAATGTGCAAACATGCAATCAATATACCCCCATCTAGCAGCATGAATGAAGGGCTAGGAAATGTCCTGTCCACACAGAGCACTTCCATATAGACATTTTCACTGGAATCAACTATTGTTTGCTATACAATCTTAATTTTGTACTTAAAGTAACATTTTCCTTGCTAAAAGACATGAATACTCAGCATTAATTATGCTTTCTAGAGATCTCCTTGCATTTAGACTTACAGGGTTATTAATAGAGTGAGAATTTGAATGGAATTCAAAGTGAATTCCAAATTTAAGGTCAAAGTAGCCGAACGAGCAGCATAGATGAGAGATTTCATTTCGGAAATTCACTTGGGATTCTCACATAAGTGAATAACCCTGCTAACGTAAACCGAAATTGTGAATTAAATTTCCTCATTAACCCCTTTGTGACAAATAACTTTCCAGGAATGTTGTGATGTTAAATGTATAACATATGGTCATGAAGAGGTTAAAGAGGCCCACTCACCTGATTATTTGTAGTGTGTGAAATTTTCTCTTTGATCCACCTCTATTGATATTCAGAGATATTATAAACATTCGCTGATCTCCATTTGAAACCAAAAGGAAACTCTCTGCACAAGCACACACCACTTTACATATGCATATGCAGTTCACAGCTTCCCTATAGGAATAAAATAAAGCCACTCAGTGTTGCATGTGTATTTCTTTTTTTTTTTTTTTTTTCTAAAATATTTTATTAAGGCTTCATTCACTAAGAGTACATACAGGGTCACAATACAAATTTATCCAGTGTTTGTTTCTGTAATGTTGTATAGACCTAATTATTTTAACAGCAAAATAAACTACCTACTAACCCCTGACCCCCTTCCCACCAAAAACACTTGCTTTTAAGTGCTCAATCAGTTGTCATTAATTCTTATAGGAAAACACTACTCATGCAGCCTCTCTGGTAACATAAGTGCATAGAAAATTCATCGAGGCAAGAGTGAGTAAAGGTAAGAGAAAACATTATTTTTTCTCATTTGTTTTTGCAAATTTAATAGCATGTAAAAAATCTGGAAAACGCATTCCATGATTATGCTGCTAAATATAGTGCCTGGAATGTCCCTTTAAGGGAGTATTTATAAGTTAAAGGTCCAGGTTTCTCATTAATCCCTGGAGTACTCTAATCCGAGATTGTTTGTGGTTTACATGGAATAAATTTATAACACAACATAACATGGCAGAGAAATTCACACACTGCAAACTCATGACTTCTTGCCTTGTCTGGGATTGTCGGATTGTGCTCTGGAGTGAATTCTTTTACATCCAATCATTGCTCCCTGTCTGTCGCTGTGTCAGTCTGTGGGAAGGAGATAGTAAATATTGCTTGGCTTGGTGACAGGAAGAACATCCTCCATAGGGGAATAGAGAAAATTTATGACAAACTTACCGTAATTTTCTTTTCCTGGCTATTTCTGATGGCAGCATCACTTATGGGGTAGCTCCTCCCTTAGCAGTCACAGGACAGGAATTAGATTAATTAATTAGACTGATAGGTATAAAGAGTCCCTCCTCCCCTTACACCTCAGTCCAATTATAAAGCTGAAAACTAAAAGAATGGGTGGGAACCCTGATGCTGCCATAAGAAATAGCCAGGAAAACAAAATTACGGTAAGTTTGTCATAAATTTTCTCTATTCCTGGCTAATCATGGCAGCATCACTTATGGGTAATACCCAAGCTCACAGAATTATAGGGTGGGAATAATAAACCGAGAAAATACACTAAACTGATTCATATACAGCAAAGAAAAGTTTAATATCAACGGGATAAAGAAACCGTAGACAGGACACTCTTCCCAAAGGAGGTGGAAGGAGAATCCAAATCTAGTTTGCAGTGCTTCAAGAACGTCATCGGAGAAGACCAGGTGGCTGGTCTGCAAATATCATCGTATGGAACCTCTGCCCAATTAGCCCATGAAGTTGACAATGCTCTAGTAGAATGAGTTCTTATCTCCCTTGGAGGCGATCGACCTTTACAGATATATGCCTTCCTGATTACCAGTGAAATCCAACGTTTTAATGTAGATAAAGAAGCCGCCTCACCTCTCCTGGCTCCCAACGGAAAGTAGAAAGTGTTGGTCAATTTTACGGAAAGACTCAGAACACTTAAGGTACGCAGACAGGCAGTTCATGACATCCAAACGTTGCCATCTAACCTCCTCTTGCGAAGAAGGATTGGGGTAGAACGATGGAAGAACCACATCTTGAGAGAGATGAAACTGAGAGACCACCTTAGGATGAAACTCAGGTTTTGGTTTCAGACACACCCTATCCTGATAGAATTGTAGACAAGAAGATGAGGTAGAAAATGCTTTACTCTCTGAAATTCGTCTTGCGGAAGTAATTGCCAATAAAAACAAAGTTTTATACGTCAGGAGGGTAGCATCCAAACTCTCAAGGGGAACAAACAGATGCTCAGTAAGGTAATTGAGCACCAGAGGAAGGTCCCATGGAGGGGTAGTAGATCTGGAAGGAGGTCTCAACCTGAAGGCTGCCTTGAAGAACCTGGAGATCAAAGGATCTGAAGTCCATGAGATGTTGCACAAAGCTGAAAGCGCCGAAGACGGAACCTTAAGAGTGCTGAGGCTAAGGCCCTTATCCAGACCCTCTTGCAGGAACTCCAAGATCTCAGTATTGTGAGGATGCAGAAAATCAACATTTTTGGCCGAAGCCCATTCCCTGAACACATCCCAGATCCTATGGTAGCATGCGGAAGTAGAAGCTTTCCTTGATTGCAAAAGGGTATTGACCACTGCTTCTGAGAGACCTAGTAGTTGAAGTCTTTCTTTTTCAAGACCCATACCCGCAATTTGAGGCGTTCCGGCTGAGGATGGAATATTGGGCCCTGCGTTAGCAGATCCTCCATAACAGGAAGAGGCCAAGGCTGTTCTTGGCTCATCATAGTCAATAGGGGGAACCACGGCCTCCGAGGCCAAATCGGAATTATAGCAATAACCTTCTTGCCTTCCGACCAAACCTTCCGTAGGAACCTGGGTATCATGGGAAGGGGAGGGAACGCATACCCCAGATTGAATGACCAAGGAAGCGAGAGAGCATCCTGGCCCATTGCCTGACTGTCCGGGTGGAGGGAGAAGTAATTCTCCACCTGATGATTCTGGGAGGATGCCATCAGGTCAATCTGGGGTATGCCCCACCGATGGGCAATCCATGCAAAGACTGCCGGGTGAAGTCTCCATTCTACTGGAAGAATTTCCTTCCTGCTGAGGAAGTCTGCAGTCACGTTCTCCGAACCTGGAAGATAGATCGTCTCCAGACCCTGGAGATTGGTCATGGCTATCGTCATCAAGGGAGCTAGCTCCTTCAAGAGCAATCTGCTTCTTGTGCCACCTTGATTGTTCACATATGAAGCAACCGCTTGGTTGTCTGTTTTGATCAGTACCCAAGAATTTTTGATCCTTGGTAGGAACACCAAGATGGACTTGAAAACCACTCTCAGTTCTCTTAAATTTGAGTGTAGCTAACTCTCTTCTCGGGTCCACTTCCCTTGAGTCCATACAGAACTGAAGTGGGCACCCCATCCAAAAGAACTGGCATCTGTTGTAATAACCTTCCAAGGGGGCTCTTCCAACGGGAAGCCTGTTGTCAGATTCTTCTTGCTCTTCCACCAGTTCAACCCTTTCCTCACGGGCAGGGGTAGAGAGATCCTCTGCTCCCAATCTGTTTCCACTCTGTCGAACTGGTGAAGGAAGCAATTCTGGACCGGACGAAACTTCCACTGGGCCCACTTTACCAACCCTATTGTCGATGTCAAGGAACCCAAGAGACTCATGACTTCTCTCGCTGAGGCCGACTCGAGATCTTGCAGCTTCCCTACTTTGTCTCTGATGTTTGTGATCCTTTCCGGAGACGGAACACATGGGCAGACATGGTGTTTATCACTGCTCTGAGGAATACAATAGTTT